GAAGTCGCGTGTATCACTTTGTCATGCCTATTACCAGAAGAAGTACTTGTATAATGCCTACTCAACTGCTATCATGCCAATTGATGATGCATTACCTGTCCCTAATCACGTTTCAAGTTCTGTGTGTTTGCCTCCATTGGTTCGTCAACCACCAGGAAGGCCTAAAAACTCAAGAGGAAAATCTGTTTTAGAGAAAGCCACTGATAAGAAAAGACCAAGAAAAGCACATGCATGTTTAATGTGTAATAAAGTTGGGCATAATTGTAAAACATACCCAAATCCAGTTGTATAACTTCTACATTCACTTGGCTCTTTTTGTTTCTTTGAAGTTTTACATCTATATTCACTAGACTAATTTATTTGTTTTCTGGTTTGAAGCAACTATAAATCATAATTTAACCGTTAACTCGGCAATCCCAAGCATGTGTATCCAAGCGATTCTCACGTATATCTTCAATCAAGTTATTGACCTTCACATCCTAGTTATCTCCATCCCATGAGTTATATATATCATCGCCCTCTTTTTCAACAAAATGTCTCACACGAACCTGAAAAAAATGTAACAAAGACTAAGTAATTGTTGCAAAAATAAAGTGAGATTTCAGTGAATTTATTACCTTATTGTCATGAGTTTGCTTCTCATTTGTGATGGATTCTTCAAAATTGACTTTGGGGCGAGATCCAGCATAGGAAAGAAGAGGAAATTCAGCACGAATACGTTTGTTCCCATAACGCTCAGCTAATCCAAGAATGGACTCATACGCCCATATAAAAAGAACATGAACACATCCTTGAATTGTATTTGACTTCTTCACGCCATAAATTGAGATTTTAATAGACTGAACAAGGCTATTAAAACCAACTATTCCCCAATGATAGCTTTCAAAAGCTTCAGGATCAAGAACTCTTTTCGCTAGCTGTAGAGGAATCCTACTAGAAGGTGAGATCCCAAGGATTCCTATCGAAAGTATACACAACCATCCTACCATTTTCCTCTTCTCAAAACTTCAGTCTTTACATATCTCCAAGACCGCTTGCAACTCATCCAAAGAAGGTCCAACCGATGTAGAAACATTCATTTCTCCCCAAAACGCTTTATGATCAGCATCACATCTGTCATTCTCTTTAAAAGGAGCACAATTCAGACCTGTAATCTCCTCAAACTCATACAAAGAAAATCGGATAGGCTGACCATCAATTAATGACCATATCTCATAAGGGCTCTCAATAACCAACTGATGTTTCAGCAAGTACTCAACTGTCTTGGATGACCATATGTAAGCAACATCTCTAAGCTTCACAATAACTCCAACAGAAGAGGTCTTCAACGCTTTCCACACATCATTTCCAACTCCTTCGTAGACCATTTGAAAATTAGACAAATAGCAGTTGTGGTCTATACTTCTTATCCTAGTAGGAGCTTCTGTCTCTTCACATAGACTTGGAGGATATCTGTCTTTCCCATTTGATGAAGCCATATCTACAAAAACAGAACACTCATATTAACTTATGAAACACTCACATCAGATATTAAGTTATGAAACACTCAATTCAAGAACTTAACAGCTGCGTAAGTGTACATGTAACTATCAAAATCTAAAAATTTGACACATTCAGATGCTACTGTTCTTCAGAATATTTATGTTTAACAAGATAAAACATCCTAAATACTCACATGACCCCTCTTAGTAATTCTATGTTCGTCTCTTTAGTTATCGTGAATTGAAAACTCAAATCAAGTTCTTTACTTTGTCTTAAATCAGCGACACTACTGTCACATTGAATAAGACACTACTCTTGCAAAACTAATCAGTACAAACCTCAACTACAGAGCTGCTCTGGTGATAGCGATGATGTCTACGAAAGGCAACAACAATAATGAATTCCACACGAAACTTACAGTCTGTTAACTTCATAAGAGGAGCAATGGTACCAGGAATCGGTCTGATTAAACCATTTCCTTGAATAATCCTGATTCATGCAGATAAAACAAAAATTGCACTCCTGTATAAGTAACCAATACCGATATACAAAATGAAAGAATCAAAATGACGCTGAAAAGATTGCTCACAATTTGTTAAGATTTGTCCAGTTCTGGATGAAATCTGGTGTGGCACCAGTGAACTGGTTGTCACTTATACGCCTATAAAGCAAGCGAGAAATATACATATAGGAAAGAAAAAAAAAAAAAAAAATTAGAATCTTCAGCAAAACACATGATGTGGGATCGAAAAAAAAGCAGAGGAATACGCTTACACATCAGTCAATGTAGTAAGTTTGGCAAATGTACTTGGGATGTCCCCACTCAAGTAGTTCGAGCTAACAAAGCTACAAAGACATAACAGACTCTCAACACCAGCAAAGACCGATAACTGTTTTTTTTCTATTTAGAGAATTTGAGACAAAATGTTCTTACAGTCTTTGAATGTTTGGTAGATTCCCGAGCTCTGGAGGACTCTCCTGAAATCTGGTTGTATTCAACTACACTAAAAACCCAAATGTTTCAGACAGGAAAAAAACCGAATCAGTCTATTACCAAAATATGAATTGTCCAAAACATTTTGGAAAAGAGAGAGTGATCAAAGAAGAGTACTCACAAGCTCTCAAGGGTTTAATGTTTCCAATCTCTTTTGGGATTCGACCACTTATCTGGTTTCAAAGTAGTGATCTGCATTTCATCATTCAACAAATATACTAAAATTAATCTATACATGTAACATACATATTTAGATCAAACAAAGCAATGCAAAAATAAAACCCATATCTATTTACAATTTTAATTAATCAGATCAAACAAATCGATCCATCTTCAGTCGAAACAGAGAAATTTTAAGATAATTAAATATTTGGCAAATAACTCAAATATCAGGTTTAACAATGAACTAAACAAGGAATTTTAGTTTGGGAATCAAAGTTAACGGCGAATGCCATCCTCTAATTTGACTATTGTACATATGCAAAGCAGTCTATGGATGCAAGGAGATGAAGAAGCCTTAGTTTAGGATTCAAACAGATGCAAGGAGAGAAAGAAGCCTCACAAAGAAAATTCGAAATTGTAGAGATAGAGTATTTACCTAATCAAATGTAAGACAAAGCAATCTGGCTCTTTAGGCGAAGACGACGAGTTGAAAAGAACAGCTGTCGAAACTAGAGAATTCGAGAGAGGAGGTGAGGACGGAGACACCGAGAAAATTCTGGGGGATCTGCTTCTTCAGGCAGAGACGATGAATTGAAAACAACAAAAACTTTTCAGAAACTAGAGATTTCGACAGAGGAGGTGAGGGCGGAGACACCGAAAAAAATCTGGGGATGAAATTCTAGTGATTTATTTCAAATTTGAGTAGCAGAGATGATGAAGGAAAAAGGTTCAGAGTGGCTCCGGAATTTCATCACCGGTGGCTGCAATTTTGATTCCGGTGGAAAGCTTCGCAGTCCTAAACCCCTTTTTGTTTTGCCGTCGAATAGTTTGATTCTGGTGAGTATCACTATTTTGATATTTTACTTAACTATTTTACTTAACTTAAATTAATTTTAATTTTTAAATTTTAGGTAAATAGAAATGGCAAGAATGTAATAATTTTAATTACTTGTACATATTATATCTTTTTACCAAAAATATGAGCTATTCTAGTAAGTACTCATCCTTAGATGTTATTGTAGTAATATACTATAATTTTTGTGCTATTTTAAGTAATTTCCCTAGATTTTTTAACTATGCAAACAAGCAAGCTCAAGTATTAAACCATACCAAAATAAACAGTAGACTTCAACAACTACTTTGACTTGTTGAGAGAGGGAGAGAGACTCTGACTTTAAAGCTTAACTCACAGCTTATCTCTCTCTTTGTGTTATCAATATTGGGAAAATCGCATTTTAAACCTTCAAAGTATAAATTACTAACACTTTAAACTTTGAGAGATTTACACTCTCACTTTTAACCATCAAACTAATAAAATTTACACTTAAAACCATCAAATGACTTATTAATTTTGCTCCACCAAAAATATTAACAGAACAGTTAACTCTATTAACAAAATTATTAATTTTATATTTCAAAATTCATTTAAATTATTTATTTGTAATAATCTACTTACTATTTACAAAAAAAGAAATAAAAAAAAAAATCTTTTTTTTTCCTCTTCTTTCGTGTTCTCCATCCTGCTACCAATAATGACAATTCTCCCTAATTGTTTTCACGATCTCAACAACCACATCCTTCAACAAGTCATCGAATTTTACAGATCCACCGTATTTCCTCTCACTGATGTTTGCTAGTTTAAGTTTCACCGCCGCTAATAAATCCGCCATTGTCATTGAGATTTTTCTAATCTTAGGCCAACTCCGACGATTCGTTGTTAGAACGACACACGAAGATTGAGCCATCACCCATACGTTGAGCGGGAAGAACGACACATGCGTTTTCTCTTCTTGCTTATCAATTCCTCACAGGGGACGCCATCTCAATTCGTTTATTAAAACACAATCTCATTTTTTTTTTGTGCAACACACACAATCTCGTGTTATTTCAGATGATTATCAAACTTAGAATTAGAGATTTAGGGCTTCAAAATAGGATGAGAGTGAGTAAGACGTATATTTAAATCCGGTGTTCCGTGTTCATTGCCAGAGCTACTATACCCAATCTGATTCCTGCAGTATTGGGTTCAGTAATCCATACAGCTGAATCATTTCTCTCTTTGATCTATGTATAAGTTAAATATCTAAGAACCAAATTTCAAATTGAATTATAGAATTTCGAAAGAAACTGAAATTAGATCTGGAAAAATGAGCAATGGGGGAAGAAGGTAGCACCGTCGGAGGAAACGAGGAAAGAGAGATTTTTTTTTGTTTTTGTTTTTAATTATTATAATAAATTAATGAATTAATATTTTGTAATAATTATATAAAGATTTTAAAAAAATTCTATTAACGGAGTTAACCATTCTGTTAACTTTTTCGGCATCACAAATTTAATAGTTAATTTGATGGTTTTAAGTGAAAGTTTTTTTAGTTTGATGGTTAAAAGTGAGAGTGCAAATCTTTCGAGGTTTAAAGTGTTAGTGATTTATTGTTTGAAGGTTTAAAATGCAATTTTCCCAATCAATATTTAATAACATGTTTCTTCTCACTTCCTTGTTTAATTTATATCTTCTCCTTCACAAATCACAATTCTCCTCTTCAATGTCTCTTCTTCCCTTCATCAAGAAGATCCAATGGCTAATCCCATCACATCGAGCTCTCAGTTGTTGGATTATCATGAAATAGATGATAGAGGAAAGGTAAAAAGATCATCTTGGGTTCAAAAAGTGATAGACATGGAAGAAACAAAGGCTCAGATTATTTACTCTCTTCCAATGATATTCACAAATCTTTTCTTATATTGTATCCCTTTAAGCTCTGTTATGTTTGCTTCCCACCTCGGCCAACTCGAGCTTGCCGGTGCAACCCTCGCCCATTCTTGGGCCACAGTCACCGGATTTGCCTTTATGGTACCATTCACCTCTTTGCCTAAAGCTTTATATATTCAACATTTGCTGTCTATTTTTAGTGCATAAATGACTCAAACCCACTTCTTTCGAATTCAGAATATAAGTTTATCAATGTCTCTAGAATTGGTTTTTCAAGTTTACAAAAAAAAAGAAAAAGTTTCTTAATTATTGAAAAGATCTTGATAATAGGATATAATAATCAGTTTATCTTGTTATTTCAGGCGTCTTTATTTTTATTTTTAAGTAATAACTTTTGAAATGATTCATTTAGCAATTTTATTACGAAATATGATCTTTTTAAAAATAAATTATAAGAGGTGTCTACTAGTATGTTTTCAATCTATCGTTAGTTTTTCAGTAATTTTCATTTAGTTTGCTATTAGTTCGGCAGTAGTCTACGTTCAATTGTATGGTCAATCAGTCTGTTAGTAATTTACAATTAATCTGCTATTAATCTATAAATAAAAGTGATTAGAAAAATTACGCTCGTATTTACAAAAATCATAAAAAAAATTATTTTCACAATTTTTCTGTCAACATAGTATTCATTTCATATTATTTTCTCGCCATTTTAGAACATTTTCTCTATATTTAACATATTTTTAATAATATTTTGGCTCACTACTGGTGATTTTTTACATATATATGAATGTTTTTTTATTATTTTCAGACAGGGTTAAGTGGAGCATTTGAGACATTGTGTGGACAAGGCTTTGGTGCAAAGAGCTACAGAATGTTGGGGGTTCATCTACAATCATCTTGCATCGTCTCATTAGCCTTCACCATCCTCGTCTCCATCTTCTGGTTCTTCACAGAATCGGTCTTTAGACTTCTCGGGCAAGATCCTAACATCTCAAAACAAGCTGCACTCTATATGAAGTACCAGGTTCCCGGTTTACTCGCTTACGGTTTCTTGCAAAACATTCTAAGATTTTGCCAAACACAATCCATCGTTACTCCACTAGTCGTATTCTCTTTTGTTCCCTTGGTGATCAATATAGGTGTCGCATATGTTATGGTTTATTTGGCCGGCTTTGGATTCATTGGTGCTCCAATAGCTACATCTATCTCATTGTGGATAGCTTTCCTTTCTCTTGGAACTTATGTGATCTGTTCCGACAAGTTTAAGGAAACATGGACCGGATTTTCGTTGGAATCAACTCATTATGTAATAATAAACTTGACTTTAAGTCTCCCTTCTGCTGCTATGGTATGGTAAGTAAGACCAATAACCATTGTAATCTACTTAAACTTTAATTGCTTGTTGTTGAAGCTTATAGGAACATGTTTTAACGCAACAGTTTGGAATATTGGGCGTTCGAGATTCTGGTGTTCTTGGCAGGATTGATGCCTAATCCTGAAATCGCCACCTCTTTGGTAGCTATAAGGTAATTAGTTTTAGAATTTTTTTTGTTAATCAATGTTTTATTATTCATATCAACAAAAATAGCACATTGTTGTGTAATGTTAAATAAATTCAGTGTCAACACGGGAGCGGTTAGCTACATGTTAATATATGGACTTAGCGCAGCTGCAAGGTTAGTAAGCTCATCAATCATATTTTCCTCTTATATGTTAGTAACATTTTTCTCGAAAGTGAAACTTTGAAAATGTAATTGCAGTACTCGTGTATCGAACGAACTTGGAGCAGGAAATGTAGAAGGCGCAAAGACGGCGACTTCTGTAACCATAAAGTTGTCTTTAGTTCTTGCTCTCTGCGTAGTGGTTGCTTTACTTGTAGGTCACGATAGTTGGGTTAGGTTATTCAGCAATAGACATGTGATCAGAGAAGAGTTTGCATCATTGAGGTTCTTTCTTGCTGCCTCTATAACTCTTGATTCGCTCCAGGGTGTTCTTTCAGGTAATATAAGACATTCAAGAAAATTTCTTCTTTCTCGAATCATCATGACGCAAAGAAAAAAACTTATTTTGCATTTTGGTTTACAGGAGTGGCCAGAGGATGCGGATGGCAGCGAATGGTCACGGTTATAAACTTGGGAACATTCTACTTCATTGGAATGCCTATTGCAGCCTTTTGTGGTTTCAAGTTGAAGTTTTACGCTAAGGTAAAATGAATGACTCTGCTATGAAACTTGTAAAGCAAGATTTATGTTCTTTTTTGTTGAACTAGATTTTAAGATTTATGTTCTTTGTGTGTTGATTCATTGTTTTGGTGAAAACAGGGTTTGTGGATTGGTTTGATTTGTGCTTTATTTTCCCAATCATCATCTCTCATGCTTATGACAATTTTCCGGAAGTGGACAAAACTGAATGCTTCGGTCTGAAAACTAGTTCCATTTTCTTCTACGGAGGCACATTTCATTTGGTAAGCAAACATGGAACAAAATACTTTGAAGAAAATTTAGACATTTTTGGAATATAGTGGACGAGATTAACATATATATATATATATATATATCTTCTGTTTCTTGGAATGTAAAAGAGAGAATCTGATTCTCAAATTCGTGTCTCGAATATTCCAGCAACACTGTAAGCTTGTCTTTGAAACCAACTTCTTATTGGTTTCTTTTTAAACAAGTTAAACATTATATTCCGCTTGCTTTAGAGAGATATGGCAGTTCAGAAATAAGAGATCATTACTGAAAATGGGAAGATTGTGTCCAAGAAACAAGACAAAGTAAAGTATATGCAAAGGAATAATTGAATCATCATATATTTGAAACAAATAGAAGAGGACAAAAAACACTTAAAACAAATACATGGAACGAATAAAAAAACCAGACCCAAGAACACAACATTTGAATAAAATCATATGTAAACCATAACCAAAGCCAACAATGATAAAATCTCTGAAAAAAAAAAACAACCTATTTTTGGACATAAATTTATATGCATATCATTCGACTTCACTTGAGTTATTTGCTGTTTTTGAAGAAGTTAAAATCCCACTTGCGTATTAACCCGTCCAAGACTTTGCCCGGTGCACTACTACTACGTTCAACTGTCACCGTCGCCTTTGTAACTCCTGACATGTCACTGCTCTCGCTTTCCTTCTGGCTCACAGAAGCGTTTACGGGTTTCGCTAGAGAAGCTGGTGTGTCTCTTGGAGCATTGGACTCGGAAGCGTTAAGTGTTGCTGGACTTGAAGCAGAGTCAATCTCTGATTGGTTTGCTTGTGCTGAAGTTGATTCTTCTCTGGCGAGAAGAGATTGTTGTGCAGTTAGAAAAGCATTGCTGCCGTGAACTCTCTTCTCGGGAGGTTCTTTTGCTTGAAGACTTTTCACTTCCAAGTCCTTCAATGATTCCATCACCGCTTTCATAAGCATCTGAATCAACAGTTATAAGAATATTATGAGAATGTCTAATACAGAATGAGACATACAAGAAGGTTTTAATGAAAGGAGAATATCTAACCCTTTCTTCTTCCTCTGGATTAGATGGGATGTCCTCCAAGTGATACTCCACGTACTGATCATCATCTAAAGCCATCCCAAGGTGATGGGGGTATTGATCGCCGTTTGACAAATCAAAGCTTATCATATCAGGAGAAGATGAACTGTCACGGCCATCATGATTCTCTTTTTCCTGAAACGAAATCATCATGCCAACATCATTCGTCTCTTTGATTTCTTTTCTTTTCTTTTCTATTAATCTAAGATGGTCACCATGACACATCTGTTTCTACTGTTGCTAATCGAATGACCATATATATATACTTAAAAGTGGCGGATAGTGACCACAAAAACAACCCAGGAAAAGCAAATTAAGAGAGGAAGAGAAACTGATCTTATACCTTAGTTTCTGATGGAGAAGCGTTAGATGTGACATTCGAAGGAACCTGAAGGAAGTAATAAATGACCATCAAAAATTCGATGGAGAAAGCTTAAAAATCACCCACCCATAACCTTCTGTGAAGAATATTCTATAGGTAGCAAGTGAAGCAACCACCTTACTGCTGTATTTCATAAGCTTTAAGCTCTTTCCGTAACTTTCTATAATCAGAGAGTAAGGCGTTCTAAATTTTGCACTAAAGGCTTTCTCTAGGGGAGCAATTGATTTCTTATTCGAACTATGCATAAGTCTTGAGTAAGCTGTATTAGTAAAGAAGTACTGACATCAGTGCGGCTCATGGGTCTTTTCATGCGGACTTCATTAATTGCGTCAGAGATGCTACTCGCGGCTAAACCTGAATAGTTACAAAAGAAGCCGTCTTTGAGCTCAAATAAAATCTACCAGAAACTTCAGAGGAAGACAAAGAGAGACTCACTTTTCTGTACTGAGGATTGTGGAATATTTGTATCATGCATAGATCCCCAACTGCCCTGAACACAACATAGACAACAACACTATTAACCTTTCCTGATGCAGAAACCAAAACAAAAGACAAACTAAACAGTCATATGTGCCGCGGTTGCATTACCTTTGCAAAGTAATCATCCAACGGGTCATAAAAGGTCGGCCCGACCACCTCTGGAGGTTGAAGTACGTTATGGAAAAAGATATTTATTGAGTCAAAGTAGAACTGAGGCCGTGGAGAGTTGTGATCTCCCTCAAATTTGATAATGTTTTTGTCACCCTACCATAATCGTAAGCCACATGTTTATAGCAAAACACATAGAAGCTAGCAGAAGCGAACATGTAAGCAAGGAAACTTACTACGTAGGCTTCATATATACGATCTGAATGATGAGGGCGGATAAAGTCATCATCTAAGGCATGTCCAAATAAAACCGGAACAAAAGATGACTTTGCCACCTGTAACATGAAAGATAAACAATTAAAATGGATATATTTTCCAGTTTAAAAACTTTCCCAAAGAGCATGATCATGACAAGCAATGAGCTGTTGTATATATTAGAGAGCATTTATGCAATCAAGTAGATAAAAAGCGACAAATAACTGAGTAAGTAAAGAACAACACCTTAATAGTGTTCAGATCCGTTATATCAAACTTTGCTTTTTTCTGAATAGCTCTCCGCATAAACTGTATTGCAAATTTTACCTGAATATACAGTGGAAAGAGATTCAAACCATAAAACAAATTCAATGTGGAAACCATGTAGTAGACAGAACAAATCCCACCAGAAACATTATAACATTACTTACAGTAAACTTCGGTAGACGGAACTTGTATGTATCTACAAGTTCCAACATCAGATCAACCAAATCAGAGAAGGGGCTGTCTAGAATCATTCCCGCAATGGAAGGATCCTCGGCTCCATACATCAGGCTGTAACAGAAAGGATGATTAATCACAATCATATCAAGTTTAGCAGGCAGGACAACTTATTTGAACTTTTCATCTAATCTCTTATGTGACATTTATTTGATGTGATATGTATGGCTAATCACCGGCAAGCACCACAGCACCTATTTTTAGCCCTCTAAAACTACTGAAAATTTCACAGCATAAAATAAATCACAGGTACGATTAACTTTCATTGATACAGTCCCATACCATTAACTGAAACTTCATGCAAAGACGGGAAAATGAAAATGCTCTAACTAAATAAGAAAGTTAGAGACTGAAACAAACCTAGTAACAGCACCCATTGAACGTCCCCATAACCCAATCAAGGATATATTTCCATCCTGCCGCAAAAACTCAACCACAGCCTTCAGATCATCTTTCTGCAAGCACTCACAACAGGTTTAACACTTGTAAGAAGAACGATCACTAATATGGGTGAAGAAAAAGACACAGAGAAACTTGCCACGGACCAAAAAAACGCACAATCCTACAAGAATAAATTCCATGATCTCCTCACTCTATCAGTCTAAACACGAACTATAGTTTCTATAGCAAAATCCTATTGGTATATAATGAACAAATTTGGACAAACACGTTTACTCCAAAGTAACGATAAATTTTGTAGAGTAGAATAGATGAACAAGAACGACTGAAGGAGCACATACTTCGTTCCAGCCTAAGGTGACATGTTCCCCGCCTGAGAGACCAGATCCCGAAAAGTCAAGAGTGAAAACTGTAATGTTCGAAGGCAGCAACACAATAGCGGCTTCACTACCATCCGCTCTACATCCACTGAATGATAAAATTGAAGTAAACCATTAAACAATGCTAAAACTTACAAAAGAACACCATCAAACACAAACTTAATAGCTATTAACTAGATCCAAAGATCTTTACCAAACGTCCCAATACCTGTTTCCATGGCAATATATTACACAGGGCAAAGGCTTTCCTTCAGGGCGTTCAACAGGCATATAATGACTACACTGAAGAACATCTCCCCTACTGTTTTTAACCTGCCAAAGACTCATCCAAATAAAAAACCACCCAATCCATGAAAAGAAAACAAGAATAGCTAGTGACAAACACTTCTCACTCACTTCAATAACTCCAGTAGGTTTAGTTTTTTAGTTCCATATGGTTATTATTACCATTATAGGTTCAAAAACTACACACACACACATCTTACTTCAATTAAATAGATTTGAACATTGTAACAACAAACAACGGTGGGACCTCAATTTGTTTGCAAAACTCGATTTATTACTAGAAACAAATAAAGTTTTAGTTTTTATAACCTTGAAAACGAAATTAGGAAGCTTTTTACCTCTAAATCTTTTCTCTGATACCATCTACCTTTCATCATGAACTCCTTCTCCAAGAGATCATGTTCCGGGTCGTACTCAGCTCTGCATCACACAAGTCAAATCAACAAATCGAGACAATCTTCTTATAATCTCTAACCTAAGTCTTAAACAGAGTCATGTAAAAAAAAGGAAGATTCAGAATTTAAGGACCCAGTAGAAGAATCTGAATAGTGATTTCTCAGTATGCACAGACACAGAGAGAGAGAGATCACGTGGGTGCCAAAAAAAAATGGAGAATTTTGATTCTTCTGATCAGAAAGAAAGTCAAGTAAGTACATATAATATGAATGCAAGTAATTGTAAAATTAGGAAGAAGACAAATTGCAAATGGATTTGAAGCGGTCCACGTATTTTTTTCTGGCATATACATCAAATCACAGTAAACAACTCAAGAACATGGGGAGAAAAAAAACAAAATTCAAGTCAGGGAATCTAAAATTCAGTGGAAAATCCAATTCTTAGACGATTGATTGTGAATATTTTCGAATAGAATTTGACAACCTCATGGAAAAGGAAATCGGGAAATCGAAAGATGAAAACTCAAAAATCAAATCCCAGTTTTTCGTTGGCTTTACCTTGGAGGTCGAATGATGAAGTTAACAAGCTGCTCCATTTGAGAATCAGAGAAATTAGCACTGCTTTCTCATATCGCAATTCTTATGCTCTCTTCGATTGGTTGGTTAAGTTGAAGAAACTTGCAACGAAATAAATCGATTGATTCGAACGAGAATTTCGCCTGTAAAACCCTAATTGATAAGGGGAAGAGAGGATCGAGTTGGTTTAGAGAGAATCAGTGAGATCGAAAGGAGGAAGAAGAAACAAAGGGAAAGAAAGAAAGAAGCTTGAGAACGGATTTTTTGTTGTTATTGTTGAGCCTCTAGACTGTTTTTGTTTGCTTTTTTTCTCTTCTTTTTCGATTTCTGTTAATATATTAATATATATATATATAGTCGTAAATAACCATATATATATAAAGTCGTAAATAACCAGTATATTTTCGCCAATTGTATAAAAATTAATCCATACGAATTCAGTAATTCATTTAAATTCTTTCAAATTATATCATTCAGTAAGTAAAACCACTTTAGAAAAGCAAATATGAAAATGTAAACATCATTATTTAAAACTGATTTATTTTATTCCATATTAGATTTTTATATGAGAGATGGTTATTAAATTTACTTTAATTTTAGTGTTATTAAAATACTAAAATATAGAAGATTTGATCCAGAAATATATATCATTATTTAATTAACATAATTCTAACTACCAAATTAGATTACCAAAAAAATGATCATTATTGTGGATTTTATATGATTTTATCATTTATTTGCACAGAAAAAAAATTATCATTTAATTCAAAATCATATAATCAAAAATTATTTACATCTTGTAGTAGCTAATCGTTTGAGCTTTGACTAACACTTAGAAAAAAAAAACTTGATCCAACGATAAGAATTCGTAACTGTAGAAACCAATTAAGGGACAAGCGGTACGGTAAGAGGAACGAGATAGCTTCTGATGATCTATCTTTTGGAGAACAATGAAGCGGATTTGGCTATGAAGCATTTGGGAACAGTGGTTTCTCATTTTGATATTGTGTTCCCATTTATGAATTCAAGTTACTTCGTTTACTCCTAAATAACTCAATTTTGACAGTCTATGTATTCCCTGATGGAGTGTCTCCAACATTTCCTTATTTGCACCCAGCCAATTGCTTCTTCTACACGTAACAAGTTTTTTAGAAATTTCAGAATAATCTTAAATTAAACATAACATAACCTAACCAAAATAAAAATCAACTTAAATTTGTAAAACTTATATGGAACATAACCTTTTAAAATCTGCGATCATAAATAAATATATATCGCAAAATACATACTTTTTATTAAAGTTTAAGGTGATGAATGTTTATGTAGTTTTTAGTTTTAGATTTTAGTTTTTGGCTTTTGGTTTTAAATTTTTGGAGTTTTTAGTTTTAGATTTTGGTTTTTAGTTTTGTGTTTTTGTTTTTGCAGTGGATTTGGGTTTTTAAAAAACTTGAATGGTAATTTGTTTAGTTTTAGTTTTAACATATTTACTGTTAATAAATTCACAAAAATATAAGTAATGATAAAATTATCAATAAAAATGTACATAAGCTTGTGTCATAAAATTAAAATAAAATAAGCTTATTATTGTACATTTTTTAGAGATGTTTATAAAAGATAGATATAAAATTTGTTATATGTGTTTTAAGTGATTAAAACAAATGTGTGAGATTTATCAATAATAATATATTATTCTGTTTTTAGATTTTAGATTGAATTTTTGATTTTTTGTTGTTGTAGATTTTAGTTTTACAAAAAACTTGAATGGTGATTATTTAGTTTTTTTACATATATATTTTTAATATAAAATATTGACTTGATTATAAGATATGATTTTCTGTTATGCTTTAGTTTTTGTTGTATTAAATATTTAAAGTAATACCAAACAGTACCAAAACCAAAATAAATATAATTTATTAATAAATATAAATACTATTTTTTATGAAAATAATAAGTAATACCAAAAAAAATATCTATAAAAATATACATAGATTTTAAAAAACGAAAAATTAAGGTAACTTATTAAAAACTCACAAATTATGGTTTTTAGTTTTTGTTTGTAAAATGTTAAAACCATGAAAAACTAGTTTTCCTATAATTTAGAGAATCTATTTGCTTAAAAACTTGAATGGCTCAAAAAATAATTTTTTGGAAACTAGAACCAAAAACTAGTCTAAAAACTGCAAACAGTCAAGACCTAAGACAATCTTTGTCCTCTCACAAATCAACTCAAGAAACTTCTTTTCATCGTGAATCTCAGCTGCTCGTTGAAGCGACTTGCATTGCTCGACAACATCTGAAAGATTCTTTGTATCCTTTCTCTTGCTACCATAGGCTTTCATCATAAATTCTCCAATCTCCTTTGGGGAATATCATCAATCACACTTGTTTTCAATACCATGTTTTGGATTTTGTAAACCAAAACCGATTCTGCTCCCAGCTCTACCCTCTTCGACTTCAAAATCTGAAGATTTGCTTCCACATTTAAATATTTCACGTATTGGACCATATAGTCAAGATATGGGTCCTTAGCTTGACTCCAATCCGCCAAACAAACGTGTATCTATCACACTAAAAACAACTAAAAGTGAAAACAATATTCTGTTTCTAATCATTAAATTTCTTAAGAAAAAAAAATATATAGATTTAAAGAATAAGAAGAAATTAGATATGCCTCCTTAGGGAAACACTCCTGATACAATATTAAAAATCAGTAAATCAAGGGTCTTCAATATGTGAATTATTATTGGAATCTGTTTTTCATGATTTATAAAGTCAAAAGATTCTCATTAAGTCCAAAGCAAGATTGGTGACAAGAAGACCATTATTTGATTTAGCTTATTTTCTCCTTTTATTTAAATGTAAATAACTTAGTTTAAATGTAATTTATTGTAAAGATTCTTTGTAAAGGTTATAAAAGCTTATTGTTCTCATTGTAAAAATATATAGAAATTTTTGGAAATTAGAAGAGATTTTTCTCTAAAGCTTTGACTTTGTTTTTGTTTATCTAAGCAAGATGGAATTCTTCACTTAGTAAACATTTGAATCTATGTTTCTTGTGTGCGATGCCTTGAGACTAGGTTTGTGAACTCATCACAGGGGCTTTCACACCCTTGAGTGGCGTTCTTCGATACACCCTTCTATTCCCTTTCATCCACTGATCAAGCCTGAAAGAGACTTCAGTCCAGCAAATTGATCCCATCACCATCCACTTCGATCATCTCTTGAGCAAGTAGAAAGAGACTTCAGTCCAGCTGCTTGCTTCCACCCATTCACCCAACCATTTATAAGATCATCCCATTGAAACACTTAGGCTGGAGAATCTTTATGCTAATCTTAAGAAATGCACTTTTTGCACTGATCAAGTTGTGTTTTTAGGATTTGTTGTAAGTTCTCAGGGTTTGAAAGTTGATGAAGAGAAGATAAGGGCTATACAAGAGTGGCCAGCTCCATCAACTATTGGACATGTAAGAAGTTTCTATGGGCTGGCAAGTTTTTACAGAAGATTTGTCAAAGATTTCAGCACCACTGCAGCCCCACTCACGTCAGTTATCAAAAAGAATGTTGCATTCAAATGGGGAGAAGCACAAGAAGAGGCGTTCAACAAGCTCAAACACAGTCTCACCCATGCACCAGTCTTGGTATTGCCTAATTTTTATCAGACTTTTGAGATTGAATGTGATGCTTCAGGAACTGGTATATGAGCTGTCTTAACTCAAGGAGGACGTCCAGTAGCTTTTTTTAGTGAGAAGTTCAATGGAGCAGCCTTGAACTACCCCACTTATGACAAGGAGCTTTATGCTTTGGTGAGATCTCTTGAAACTTGGCAACACTATTTATTATCTAAAGAGTTTGCCATTCATACAGATCATGAGACTCTTAAACACTTAAGAGGACAAACTACACTTAAGAAGAGACATGCCAAATGGCTGGAGTTTGTAGAAACCTTCCCTTACATTATCAAGTACAAGAAAGGAAAGGAAAATATAATGGCTGATGCTCTTTCCAGGCGCTATGCTCTCATCACCACTATGGAGGCTAAGGTAATGGGTTTTGAACATATTAAATTGCAATATGAAACAGACCCTGATTTTGCAGATACATACAAAGAGTGCTACAAAGGAGCTGTAGGTCCATTCTATCAGCATGAAGGTTTCTTGTTCAGAGACAAGAGATTGTGCATTCCACAAGGTTCCATGCGAGATTTGCTGTTAACAGAATCACATGGAGGTGATTTAATGGGACACTTTGGAGTAGACAAGACGTTGAGCATTGTAGTGGAGCACTTCTTCTGGCCTCATTTTAAAAGAGATGTTGAACGGTTCTGTTCCAAGTGCATCATCTGCCTTAAGGCAAAATCCAGGTCATACCCTCATGGTATTTATCTTCCATTGCCTATACCTAATATGCCTTGGGAAGATGTTTCTATAGATTTTGTACTAGGTTTGCCCAAGATAAGGAACAAGGACTCCATCTTTGTGGTGGTGGACCGATTCTCTAAGATGGCACACTTCATACCTTGTGCAAAGACCAATGATGCAACACAGACAGCTGACTTGTTCTTCAAGGAGGTGGTACGTCTACATGGTCTACCACGGACTATTGTCTCGGATAGAGACACCAAATTTCTCAGCCACTTCTGGAAAACGCTTTGGAGGAAGCTATGGACGAACTTGTTGTTCTCTACAACATGCCATCCCCAAACGGATGGGCAGACTGAAGTTGTCAACCGCAAATTATCCACCCTTTTGAGAGCCACCATCGGTAACAACTTGAAAAATTGGCTTGACTGTTTACCATTTGTTGAGTTCGCTTATAACCATGTCCCACACTCTGCTACTAAATTTTCTCCTTTTGAGATTGTTTACGGTTTTAAGCCTCTCACACCACTGGACCTTTCTCCACTCCCACAAAATGAGCATGTCAGCTAAGATGGAGAGAGAAAGGCTGAGTTTGTTAAGAAGTTGCACCTCAAGGCTAAGGAGAATGTAGAGAAGAAAACACTTCAGTACAAGAGGAAAGCAGACAAAGGGAGGAAAGAAGTCACCTTTCAACCAGGAGATTGGGTGTGGTTGCACATGAGGACAGAACGTTTTCCCACTCAAAGGAAGTCCAAACTTTCACCAAGAGGAGATGGACCATTCAGGGTGTTAGAACGTGTCAATAATAATGCCTACAAACTGGAGCTGCCAGGTGAGTTAAACATTTCTCCCACTTTCAATATTACTGATTTATCTCCTTTTGATGTTGCAGAAACAGTTTTGAGGTCAGAACCCTCTCAAGAGGGAGGGAATGATGCGGACATCAAACCTGAAGATGTGATTCCCACCATGGGGTTGCCACCAAGGACAAGAGCTGGTACAAAAAGACTTCAAGAAGAGTATAATCAAGGTGTGGAGAGTCTAATAAGCCAACAAGCACTTGAAGAAATAACGGACCAACTTGACAAGCTTGCCATCACTTCAACGGACACTTCACAGGAGACACTTGAAGACCACATCACTCAAGTTCATGAGACACACCAGCAGGACGGTCCATACATCAAATTCAACTCACATGAAGAAGCTTGGCCGGTTATATCATCCAACCAAGGAACCACCTTGTTTTCCATCAAACCGAGCTGAATCAAAGCAAAGGAGAGATCAAACCGGATTTCCAAATGTACCAATCCGCCCACAGCAAACCAAGGTAAGTTTTTGAATCATTTATATCATATTTTGACTAATCCTTGTGTTTATGTTTGTTTGATCTCAACAGCTAAATCCCTTAAAATTAGCTATCTTTTATTTATGAACTTTTGTATTTCTTGCTTTGATTTTCCTTTGATTTTGCATTTTTGATTCTTGCATTAATTATTGTAATAAATTGGCCAAGGAAGCCCGCAGCTGCTTGAACCATATATAAAGTTCCATTCAGCTATGTATTTTTTTACACTTGATTAATAAGAAAAACCCTTTTTGTTGTTCTTTCAAAATTGCAAACAAAAACTAGAGTTCTTTGAGATTGTGTGAGAAGCCTTTCTCTTAAGTTCTTGATTTATCTCTGCTTATATCATAAAGCTGAGTGGCGTCCCTCATTCCATCATCCTTCCATTCCATCCACTGATCAACCTGAAAGAGATCTTAGTCCAGCAGATTGATTCCATCACCATCCACTTCGATCATCCTTTGAACAAGTAGAAAGAGACTTCAGTCCAGCTGCTTTGTTTCCATCCATTCACCTATCAACTATAAGATCATACCCCCTTGATCTTATATCATCTGGTATCACCCATTCTAAATGATATAAGATCAATGGGATGATCTTATAAATGGTTGGGTGAATGGGTGGAAGCAAGCAGCTGGACTGAAGTCTCTTTCTACTTGCTTAAGAGATGATCAGAGTGGATGGTGATGGGATCAATCTGCTGGACTGAAGTCTCTTTCAGGCTTGATCGGTGGATGAAATGGAATAGAATGGTGTATCGAAGAACGCCACTCAAGGGTGTGAAAGCCCCTGTGATGAGTTCACAAACTTAGTCTCAAGGCATCGCACACAAGAAACATAGATTCAAATGTTTACTAAGTGAAGGATTTCATCTTGCTTAGATAAACAAAAACAAAGCAAAGCTTTAGAGAAAAATCTCTTCTAATTTCCAAAAATTTCTATATCTTTTTACAATGAGAACAATAAGTTTTTATAACTTTTACAAAGAATCTTTACAATAAATTATATTTAAACTAAGTTATTTACATTTAAACAAGAGGAGAAAAATAAGTTAAATCAAATAATGGTCTTCTTGCCACCAATCTTGCTTTGGACTTAATGAGAATCCTTTGACTTTATAAATCATGTAGAACAGATTCCAATAATAATTCACATATTGAAGACCCTTGATTTACTGATTTTTAATATTGTATCATTCTCTCCCTTTTCAAATGGTTTTGTCCTCAAAACTGATTTTTTTATTTTTTTTATAAACTTTTTGGCAAATATTATTTATAAAATAAATAAAACTTTTTTTATTTTATAATTTTTTTTAAACAGAAAAAATCGAAATAAACAAAAACATAAACAGAAACAGAGTTTTTTTTTGCTTTTTTTAATAAAAGAAACAAACTTCAATTATAAGTGAAAAACACTGATTTTTATGGGTTTTTAATAAAACAAATCATGAATCAAAGAACAAAAACATAGAACTATTTTTTCTGAGTTTTTTTTAAGTTTATAAAAATTAAAGAATAAAAACAACCAAAACTTTTTTTTTTTCTTTTCAATGGAAATCTTGATGAAACATGAATCAAAAACAAAACAAAAATAAAAAAGATAGAGGATAAGAGCTTTTAGCTCTGATACCAAATGATATAAGATCAATGGGATGATCTTATAAATGGTTGGGCAAATGGGTGGAAGCAAGCAGCTGGACTGAAGTCTCTTTCTACTTGCTCAAGAGATGATCGGAGTAGATGGTGATGGGATCAATATGCTGGACTGAAGTCTCTTTCAGGTTGATCAGTGGATGGAATGGATAGATGGTGGATCGAAGAATGCCACTCAAGGGTGTGAAAGCCCCTGTGATGAGTTCACAAACCTAGTCTCAAGGCATCGCACACAAGAAACATAGATTCCAAATGTTTACTAAGTGAAGAATTCCATCTTGCTTAAATAAACAAAAACAAAGTCAAAGCTTTAGAGAAATATCTCTTCTAATTTCCAAAAATTTCTATATCTTTTTATAATGAGAACAATAAGTTTTTATAACTTTTACAAAGAATATTTACAATAAATTACATTTAAACTAAGTTATTTACATTTAAACAAAAAGAGAAAATAAGCTAAATCAAATAATGGTCTTCTTGCCACCAATCTTGCTTTGGACTTAATGAGAATCTTTTGACTTTATAAATCATGAAGAACAGATTCCAATAATAATTCACATATTGAAAACCCTTGATTTACTGATTTTTAATATTGTATCAACTCCCCATGATCATTGGGATCAAATGTACCATTTATGTTTGAATACATGATGTTGGTTTTGCTCTTATCTTTATTCTCAAAGCGCATATCAACCAAACTCAATCTTTGAATTTGGTGAGAACAATGTAAATAAGAAAGAGAAATAGATTGGACTGGAGCATACTATATGCCTTTTTTTAATTTTGATTTGTCACCACGGTTCCACATAGGGTACCTCTACTAGATTCATTGAAGCTACTAGAGTTATACCACGTCAATTTTTGAAACATAATCATGTTTTTGGAAAATAAGTTAAATATTTTGTACTACAAATGTACCAAAAAATTTAGAAGTATCAAAAATATGGTTATTATTTAGTGATTAGAATGCAAAGAGGCATGTGTTATAAATATGATTGCCCATTAATCTATGCCAAAGTGGAACTTGGACGATGTTGTGAAGAATGACTTTTGATTTTTTTTTGCTAATCGTATCGTAGAGTTTTTAAATACTTTTATGGTCTTCGGTGTGCTTTGTTGGGACGATGTTGTGTAATATTTTTGATCAATTCAGAATTTTAAAGCTAAATAATGTTGTTTCAATGATTTTGCTGTTTAACCTCAGTAATTTTACTACTAATGGATTGTGGATTAGATTTATTACATTAAGAATCTTGAAAATGAATTACAGTTTGAGGCAGAGATTAATAGGTGTCTGAGAATTTCAACTTTGCAGCATTTATGAGAAGTTTTTACTCTTTCTTAGGTGGTCCATTGAACCATAATTCCAGTTTTTTTTTAACAAAAAAAAGGTTTAGCAATTTGAGTTTTAAAAAACCAAAAATTATTATCATAATAATCACAATACATAGTTTAATATATATGTATAAGACATATCCATAATTAGAGATTTAACTGAAATTAGAGATATATCATCTGTATAATGTTATTGTTATGTCATAATTGGTTGTTGTTTTTGAGAATCCATGTTTCTTCCACTATTATAAATTTTTTTAAAGTATAATCATTCATTTTTGGCTAATACATTTGAAATAATATTATGTTTTCGGAAAATAAGTCAAAAAGTTTTATCATAAACGTACCAAAAAAATTTAAAAGTATCAAAAATGTGGTTATTATTTAGTTAGAAAATTAAGTGGTGTTATAAAGACGATTGCCTATTAATCTAACTTGGATGATGTTGCAAGGAACAACTTTTGATATTTTTTTTTTGCTAATGATAATGGTACTGTAGAGTCTTAAAATATTTTTATGTTCTTTTGTATGTTTTGTTGTGATGATGTTGTGTGATATTTTCAATCAATTTAGAATTTTAAAATTAAATAATGTTATTTCAGTCATTTTACTGTTTAGCCTCTATAATTTTACTACCAATGGATCAGACTTTTTTTGGTGATCGATCAGTCTGTACTCAGATTCTACGTAGACTGAAGCTATAGCCTACAGTATATGCTACTTGGTGGTCAAACAAAACGACACTAAATCCTATGTTTTATAAACTACACGCCGTTTTAGCTCCTTTAAACGACATAACGTTATGAATGACAGTTCTTGTTCTCTGTAAAGGCGGCGCCGGAAAAAACCATCCACCTTCAAATCCCCTTATCGGAGAGTTCATCAGCCGTACCTCTTTTTTGGAAAATCTCTCATCATTTTATTATAATAAGTGAATCTTGCATTAAAGGGCATTTTATGAGAACAGTGATTCTTGCATCAATAGACCTTTTATGAGAATCTCATAATAGTGTTTTGTTTCTGTTGTTTCTCTAGCTAGAGCTTCCGAGAGTGACCACAAGCAAGCCCGGCCGAGAAGACAAGCAGGCTAAACCAAGACTTAGGATCACTAATGTTTTTTTTGTAAAATGGATCACAAATTAAAAAAAAATCTAAAAAAATAGGCCACAAATTTTAAAAAACTAAATAAATTTTACATTTTCTTCTTTTATAGCTTTGGACAACTATTTTAATTGGACCAGGTCTGATCACAAGTTTTCTTTCAGAGTAACACTTGTTTCATTCATCAAACTTATCACATGTAGCACACCAAACAAACAAATAATCGTACTAGTATTTCAGCTTCGATTGTATATGAAAAATATAAGCAATCTAGTGTTGTTGCTCTCAGGAGACATAGTAAGCAGAAGGGAATCCTTTGTATGAATCAGTGAATGCAGCTACGTTCCCTGGACGAGAGAAGACAACCTGCAATATCGTATTTGTATTGAAGATTATTCAAAATCTCACTGTTCATCGCAAGATATTAAGAAGCATGCCTTATTTTTCTGGTCTGTGTTAATGGTTAATATACCTGGTAGTTTCCAAGGGTAAGAGTCTTGAAACCAGCTGCACAATAATCAAAATAATATTCCCATGTTCTTATGAATTGATCATCAAATCCAAGAGCCATGATTGGTCTGCACAGATAAAACGTGTTTTGGTGTGAGAATGTGAGTAAACAGAGTGAAGTTACAAGTAAAAACAGAGGAAATGTTTTTATTTTTTAATATTTATCTTACTTTTGTCTCTCCAAGAAGTTCTTCCTCCACAATCTCAATGTTTGGTAGTAATGAATTCCAATGTTCTCAACGTGTTCAATGCTGTTATATATTCAGTGTTAGAGGGATTTAACAAATAGATAGCAAATAAAAAACCAAAAATGGGTGAAGAAGTTACCATAGCCTAGAAGAAGAGGACATGGCTGAAGTAACTCTAGCTAAAGAAGGAAGGCATCCACCAGGGAATATATATTCTTTTATGAAATCTGAACTTAGTCTATACTCATTGTAACGCTCTTCAGGTATTGATATGAACTGTTATAATCAAAACATTATAAAAAAAATCAATGATTTTGTGAAAACATTTTTAGGATGTCTTAAAAAGAGAAGTATTGTTACCTGCAAGACTATGAGGCCATCTTGTGCAAGCGAAGCTTCACATCTACTGAAAAACATCTCCATGAACTCATGTCCAACCGCTTCTAGCATCTCGCTGAAACACCAAAAAAAATTAATGTCATAAGACAGATAATTATAGAGGTATGTTAAGATAGAGGGAAACAAGGATGATACCAAGATATAATCCGATCATATTTGTGAGCATCAGATAGTTGTCGATAATCGCAGAGCTTAAACGTAATCCGATCCTGAAAATTCATAAGTCATGTAATGAGTCATAGACTCGGAAAATAAGAAACCAAGATCTCTATAGATGGATTAATGCAAACCTCAAGTCCAGCTTCTTTCACTTTGGCTTGTGCGTATTTAAGTTGTTCAATAGATAGTGTAATGCCAGTGTATTTGCATCCAGTTCTTCTCACTACTTCTATGGCCAAAGTTCCCCATCCACATCCAATCTCCAAAACCTCATGGTTCTTCTCTACTCTCGCCTGAAAAATGTACCACTTTGGTCAGTTCAAGAACAGAGGAAAATCTTGGTTCTTGTAGTAAATCAAGAAAAAATTCTTGTATATAGATCTTACCTTTTCAATCAAAAGAGATATTTTTCTCATCTGCGCAGTTTTCAGATCCTCATCATCTGACTATAAACGATATAATGGCAAAAGGATGAAAGTCAGGATCACAGGAAAGCAAGAGAAATAGAGAAACCAAATCCTCTAGAAGTGTTTTCATTGTCACCTTGAATACTGCGGAGGAGTAAGTCATGGTATCATCCAAGAATAAACCAAAAAGCTCGTTGCTCTGTGGATTAACACAATAGAGAACTTGATTATGAACCCAAAGACCAAGGACGTATGCATCGAGATATAAGAGAGAGGTGGAGGTTTCCGGCTACTTACAAGGTCATAGTGACGAGAAATGTTCCTGCGGGCTTGAGTTAAAGTGTTCTGTCTAGAGACATGCTTAAGAAAATACTTTGCAGATGCTAAACCAGCAGTTAGAAACATCGGTGTCCACCATCCCCTGCGAGATCAAAAACACAAGTTAAAGCTTAGGACACATTGTTTTCACTTTTCAGGCCAATCATAAGGCAGAGGTAGCTTAAAAGATTTTACCTTTTCTTGGCAAGATTTGATTTTGGTGAGCTCAAATCTCTGTTAGCAATGAGAATCTGTAAAAATTTAATTAAGAAGATAAACAACATAAAACTTTAATCAAATGAGACAAGAAAGAAAAAGAAAATACTCAGTATCTATGCTTCTCCAAGTATATTGTGTACCATAATCAGATTCAAAAGTCCTGAATCTTTATCAACGAAAGAAAAATCTCCATTGATGTAAGCATCTGCAAGTCCTAGATCCGCTTGTGTCATAACCTGAGATACAAGAATCAAGAATCAGTAAGTTTCTTGAGCTATGGAAAGTCTATTCGTAACTTTCTCATTGTCTTCTATACGTACCTTCCAGTAAAACTGAGGACTGTGAATCTTGAGAACAGATTTCAAAGGACAAGTAGAATCTTTTCCCCCGAACGTGAACATCGTTCCTCCTTCTTCTAGTATTCTAAGTTCATAGCGTTAAGTATTAATGTAACAATGGCGTAACACAATATATAACCTAAACAGAGGAGATAGAGTGAGCCTCACGTTACAAAACCAGTCGATATGAATTGTCCCATGAATCTAGTAACGAAAAGCCGAGCCCCTGTTTCTGTCAAGGAAGGGACCATATGTCGCGGGTTATTCAAAAGAGCGGTCTCTTTCCCTAACAAACCTCGTGCAGCCGCCATACCAGCCTGAAGACATTATTAACAAGACTGTGAGTTATTAACAAAATCAAATGGGTAGTAAAGAGAAGAGGCTTATATAGAGTTTGATCGTTAGTTACCTTTAGTCCGTCTTCATGGAAACCGTAACCTGAAAGGCAAATTCAGCTAAGGATTAGACAAGAGAAAACCCTGTAAACACTCGTAACTCGTAAGCTTTAGGTTTTTAAGAATCTAGGGTTTAAGTAATTACCCTGGTAAGCACCACAGAACCATATGTTACGCTTTCCTTGAATCTTGTGAAGCTCCTGTGACGCTGTCCAAGCTGCAACTGAAGGCACAGGGTGACCAGTGGTCCATTTGAGCAATGTTTTCTTTGGGGTCTGGTCAGGGTTTAGTGTTACAAAGAACGGTTCACATTTCTCCCCAAGGTTCTGCACCAATACACATCAAGATTTAGGTTAAATTAAGCTTGTTTCTTTCTTGGCAAACCGGTCATTAAAAAGTACGTAGATTGTGTCTTATACCTGAAGTATATTGAGCCAGTATGTTACACATACTTTCTTTTCCGTACTCCCTAAGAAATTCCAAGAACTCCAAGCTGCTTGATTCCGTGGCATCAAATCAGTGTCGTGATGGAGATATATATCGCTGCAATCAATAACAGAAATTTAATGAATCAGAATTCTCAGATCAACATAACAAAAGGTGTCAATGATGTTTACCTGTAAATATATCGGAAAGCACCAAGAACCCTAGTTTCATCAAATGTGACTTGTTCACCAAGCAGTCTCAGAGCATCTGGAGCGTGCATAGCCATTATGCACCTATCGAATACTTCTTGCGATCCATCTCCACTTGTTACAGTGACGCAACCATCCTCAGATGTCAAAACAGATTTTACATCGCAGCTTGTTTTGATCTTGCATCCTAGTCTCTCCAGTTCTGCCCTAACCTGATACGTAGGTGACACGTCAGGCTTAAATACTAATACCTTACGCAACATAACATAAGCCTGTGTACATATCATTGGTTTAGTTCAGAACCTTTGCAACATAAGTCTGAGAACGTCCTGCAACAGTTAGCCACTGTGGCCTCCCAAAAATCTGAAATAAAACAAAAAAAAATTAAGCAGCAAAACACCAAGAAGGTTGTTTAAAAATGGAGAAAGATGAGAGAGGATTAATGAACCTGAAGAAGATGGTGGTTGCAGCAAAACGAAAGAACAGAGTAAGCAGAGAAGCTTAAGACACCATCTGATGGACATGACCATATTGAACCACAAATCGGAACCTAAACTCCATAGACAGATATATCGAGGTTACTTCTTGTCCAACAAAACTTCAAATAACATTTTTGACGGATCAGTTTAATGAAGAAGGCCTCTCACCAAGTAAGCATTCTGAAACAACTCAGAGTATCCACGGGAATTGAGGAACTCTCCTAAGGTTTCGTTTCGACTAATATCAGGATTAGCCTCGAGCTCTTCAATGTATTTTAAAACGTCTTCTTTAAATTTAACGATTTCTCTGATCATCTGCCAAAAATAAGGATTCAAAGCGTTCTTCTTCTGAGCAAACAAGCCCGAGACGCCATTGCGACTTCCCCATTCACAACCTTTGCCATTGTCAAGGCTTACTGCGAAAGACATGTCTGAAACTTCCATGTCTACTCCAAGATTCTCGAAGAATTCCATCATGTTTGGATATGTAACCTATCAATTATTTATGAAAATGATCAATATCCAAAGGAACAACATACAAACAATCTTTAATATGAATTATTCAGAGATTCGGATATGTTATTACATTTTGAGACTGATTATGTGTAGTATGAATCATTTGTGTATACACTTCAACGCTTCATAAAAATACATGTGTACCATAATCACTAATTAACTATATAATTAATTTGTTAATTAGCTATGGAGAACGCGTGGACGTGAAATTATAAACAATGGATAAGTTATACAGTATTTTGAAGTTCGAATGAAGACAAGATAATAATGAGCTGTTCTATCATTATCATATCATCTTTTAAAAAAAAATAACAATTTCTTGTCGTATAAAAACGACAAAAAACATCTAATCAAGACAAATTCCTAGTTGGTCTTTATTTGATTACCATGTAGGTCGGACCGTAGGAAAACACTTAATTCGTAAATAATACGTTTGACTTAATAAAAAGAAACACAATGCTAAAATTGTTGGTCAAATATAATATTCCTATTGCTACGTTTGTACAGATATATAAAGTAAAAAATATAAAATTGCTATCTATATTTTATTTCAAAGGTTTAGAAAAGCACAATAAGTTATGGCAAAAAGAAAAGTAAAACAAGAAAAAACACAACACAAGGTATGGGCCATCTGTGGACAGTGGACACACACATAAAAAGGGAAATGCCTCAATTATCGTTTCACATTTTTCACGAAAATAGAAAAAAAAATCTAGAAATATTTAACTGTATTTTTTTTTTTAATAAAACAGAAAAAAAAACTTGTCAAAAAGGGAGAAAAATATGAGCGAAAGGGAAAGGGATACGTACACGATTAAAGACCATGAACCCAAGGTCCAAGTCAACGCCATCAAAACGCACCGTTTTAGCATGACCACCTAATGATTCTTCTTTCTCGTACAATACAACCTCTTCGACTCCTTGAGAAGCAAGAACGTAGGCACTTCCTAATCCACTGATTCCACTTCCTATCACCGCCACTTTCATTTTTCTCTTTTTATTATTGAAATAATATTCAATTTTTTTTAGTATTAACTTAATCCTCCTGCATTGTAGAAAATAAGTTACATTTGACCTGATATAACGGATTGGGATTCTCAACGGAAATGCGAATAACGAGATTTGATTACAGAAATTGGAAAATCATCGTACGTAATTTAAAGAGCCGATATATAATAAACCTTTTTTTTTACAGTTGACCTACTTGTGCAATTTAAATATGTTGCATTAAAGATGAGAGCAGTGTGGTAGAAGACTAGAATTTATTAGTGACCCTTCTTCATCTATCATTTCATAAAACAGACCAAAATTAAAAATTAGTTGTATTAAATTATTTTGGACTCTGTAGTGCATTGCATTAAAGACGCTAACAATGGTAGACTCGAATCTAGTATCGATAGTGACTCTTCTTCTTCTACCTTTTCACAAAACCAATTTACTCATTTCGGAATCTACTTATATATATATATATATATATGTGTGTGTGTGCAAGTAAATGTATAGCCAGAGACACGATTTGGGTAATTGAGATAGATACCTATGAATAAATTTTATATTGAAAATGAGAAATGTAGGTAGTAATTTTACCTTTTCTTTTTACTTTGGAACACAATGGATTTGGATCTGGAAATGGATTCAGAGTTCGCTGGAACGAGTCTTGAATAGATACGCAGATTTCCGGATTTCTTGGAACTCTGAGACTGAAACTGGGATTTTGTTTTTCCCTTTTCTTCTGATTATTGTTTTAAGAAATGGGATTAATTTGAAAAATGAAAGAAAAAAAAATAACGAAGCGAAAATGAAAGTGAAGAAAATGGAGTAAGATTGAAGGATTTAGGAGTGGGCGTCTATTGGATGAGTTTAAGGGAAACACTTGTGCCAAGGAGATAAGCCAGCCACATTGTGTTTTTTGCTTATATGACAAATCCATATACATATATATAGCCCACAAATTAAAGCCATGTTTGGGTCACTTTTAAACACTCGACGTTTGCGTTTCAGTAATAATTGTCTCGTGCTTTGCTTTTGTTTTTTATAATATCTAATTTTCTCGGATGCGGAAATAAATATTCCTTTATTTTTTAGTTCCCATTGGGCCTAAAGAATATATCTCATTTTCTGTTCTTACTTTGTATTGTTCATTTTCCACCATTAGTCCTTTTAATTATGTGACTCTGTTTTAGATTTTCATTTGTTTGTTTGTCAACATAATCCTACTCTCATTTAGCATATTGATGAGATTTTATCGGGTTAGTTAAAAAAATAGCGACTAAAACCCAAACTATTCAAGAAAAACAGTAAAAAAAGAAAGCGATGCATTAAAATGACCAATACTTTTTTTCCATATTACCAAATTTAGAAAAGTAAAATCACTGAAAACAGCTTTAGACAGATCGTAAGTTTATAAAGTTAGATGCATTGGATTTTATACAGATACGTGGCCCCAGAATTATGGTACATTTCAAAACTAAATTTAGAAATTAACGTGTGACAATTCATCATTAGATAATTATTTACAATATTTTCATAATTAGAAAAAATAGATTTTTCAGCTTAATAAATTTAAATTTCTTATTTTACTAATGTCTTTCCCTTTTAAAAAATCTACATTTTGTTTTCAAATCATACATGGCTTTAATTACAGGCTATGGCATGATATATAAAAGAGTGAAAATCAACAATGTGATGTGTTTAAACGAAAATAACAGAGATGAATATATCTAAAATGTAGTGTGTTTAGTTAGAAAGTTGAAATTATAATGGGATTGAATCTCTTTCTCGAAACACTTTGAGCATCGCCATCTGGTTGACAAATATATCACCAGAGGCGCAGGAGTAAAGACAACTTTAGTTTTTTTTCAGTGGTTTTAAGAGAGCAAATTAATAATTTACTTAGCCTAATCCTGGTTAGAGATCGGATGAACTAATTTGACGAGATTTTGTGTCTTTTCACTTCTTCACCAGTCATATGGCCTTGTACTGGAGATTATGCATAGACAACCTGGTGTCAAGAACTCGTATAAAATAATGTTGTTGATGCTAATTAACATCTTCTTTTCCAAAAAGGTATCCAGAAATAGGTAGAAGAAATAAAATCATGGCTAAGTTCTCTTTATGACCTTTCAGAGATTATAATATTAGACCGGATAAAAGTCTAATTAATAATATACTCAAGAAAATATGTGTGTTGCAATTTACAAGTTATAATGGCTAATAGCTCTAATGGTATAATTAGATAAAAAAATTATTAAATTTCCATATATACAATTTTTTGAAATTACATTAAAAAAAACTCTAAAACTTATATAAAAATATTAAACTATTGATCAACTACTAAATAAGAGAACTTAAAAAAATATACCACCTTATTTATTTTTTCGTCAAACACATCTATAACTGACGGGTGATAAAATTAGTTATATGTCAGAAGATACCAGATACTCCATTTTTTATATATGATGTTTAAAGTTTTGCACAGAGATTAAGAAGTTATTTAATTTTCTTTTTTTTCAAAACAAAACATAAATTCCAAAACAATTTAACCAATAGAAAATTAATATATAGAATAAAATAATTACTTTTTGCATTGAATTCTGAAAACATCATCTAATTATGAACAAAAAAAATTCTAAAACATTTTATAAAGATAAACGGAGGGAGTAGTTTTGTTAAATTCTGTTATCTGACAAGAAAGAAATTAATGAAGATGCAAAATCGTATTTTAGAATTTTATAAATGAAGAAGTCAATATTAAACCATTGAGGCGTTTTCAGACGTTTAATAATTTCAAATTGTATTATCAGTATTATGTTGGAGACTTGGAGTATGCAGGTCTCGTATACGGTATACCGTATACCCAAGCGAAAACAATTATAAAAGTATCTCTATCAGTTGAGTATCTCAATTTGAATCTTTAACAATGTTATATCAATATAATTTAATAACAAAATCAATTTTAAAATGTAAAAAAATCTAAGCTAATTATATAATAACACTTATTTTTCTTAAGTTCAGATACGGGTCCTAATAATATGTTATTTGAGAGATTTTATTGATTAAAGTATGCGTGCCTATTGCATGGATGTTATTAAAATGAGTGCGTGTACTGTAAAAAGACCATATACGCATTTCTAAAGACGTGGAATATTTTTGGAACCCATATTCATCCAGCGGGTTACACATTTTTCCACATGCATGACTTAATCTATCCTATAATATTGCAAATCACTATTAAGATTTTGATCGAACTCCATAACTCCTTTTAGTTTTTCTTTTTCAACAAACCCCATTCTCCAAATTTTAGCATACAAAAAACAATCCCCTTGCAGTTTTTTTATTTTATTTTTTATACTTTCTTTTGTCACCAAACCCTTCAAGTCTTTTTAGTTATAGTATTATTCATACAGCTACAGCCGTTGACGGAATATATATACAGACATACTACAGTCACCTTCTTAAGAATAAATAAGAGTGAGTTTAGTAATGACAGAGCGAAGGTGATGTGCTCAAATAAATATACATGAAGGCCATCAAGTTTTTAAGGAGGAAACAAAAGATGGAGTCACGTTAACAGGGTTTTATTTTAATATTAATTCACTTATTATATTATTCTTTTGTGTTCAGTTGATTACAAATATAACTTTAAGTGAGATCAAAGCTTAGCTCGTCAACCTATATAAGCTGTTCTAGATATATTAGTTGATGATTTTAATTGCAATTTGATTTCTTATCGGAAAACTGCTATCTCGATAAAACGTATTAAAATATCATATTTACAAAAATATAAATAGTTTAGAGTAATTTATATACATGACCTATTTTCAATTGAATCCGAGTTAATTTTTTTTTAACACTTTACAGTTTAATAGTTTCTCGATTCGAAAACTAAAACGTTATTATAGTTTTATCGATTCAAAAACTAAGCATGATTATTTAGTTTCTTTTAACGTCGGTGAATGTATAATTTATACCATCAAACATTTGATCTATAGGTCGATTTCTTTGGTAACTGATCCAAACCTGTCGAAATATTTTAAAATTACGGCTCCACTACAATAGTAATGAAAAAAAAAATATAGTAAATCAAAGACAAGAACAATGTGTTTAACGAGATCCTAGTGGACCGATGAAGTTTCGTGTTTTCATGTAGTCGAAAGAGTTTGCACCTTAATGGTGAGCTTAGAATTCAAAAGTTGCATTACTATAAATGGATTTTGGCACCTGTCTATATGGATGCACAACGACAAACTCAGAGAGTCTACGTTCCTAAATTACGTACATACTATTACATTATTTTTGTCGACACCATTATTGATTATAACTTTATTTTATCATGAAATTTGGTTAATGAGAGAAACAAGTTTTTCTATACGCCATATAAACAAAATAAATTTCTAAAAACAACGAAACTGTAGAGGTAGTAACCACTGCAAATGTTGACCAAAAAAGATAATCAATTAATATCATCATTAGCGTAATCAATTACCTCCAATAACATTTCTTCTTCTTCTTGTACTTTTCGCTTTCAAAAAAATATATATTAAAAAATGAGTTTTAAGATTCCATTCGCACTAAAATTAATAATGGTATATAGTATGATAATGGAGATATACTCAGAAAAAGTATCCAAATCAATAGTTTTCTGTTTTCTTCAAAAGTTTCAGTTTCCAAACATGAGCATATTGGTTAGATACTTTATTAGTACTAGACTTATATCTGTGCATATGCGCATATTTTTTCTAAAATATATTTTATTATAAATAATATAATATTTTTATTTGAATTTCATACTTATAAATTCTTTTTTAAATAATGTATATTTACTAAATATAATGAACTTCTGTATATATTAGAGTTTAATTTATAACATTATATGCTATTTTTAGGGGAGCCTATTATCTTATAGATATCGATGAAACATAGTTATCCAATATAATTTTATATATTTATAATTACAGCTTCATAGACCCGACAAGATTTATTCCTTTACGAACACTTCTATCAAATTTTATCTTTTTATTTTCTACTTTGGCATGAAGTAGTTTTACCTGATTTTATTATATCTTAAATATTATTTATTTCAAATGTAATTTTTTCAATATGGATCTGATTATTTGTAGATAAATTAATTCAGTTTTTCAACTTTAATATATAAACAAATAGACTTTTCATATTCTCAAAATGCATTAATAGAAATAATTATGATTATTATTTGTGGTTTTAATATTAAGTTGACACTTGTCACGATAAAACAGATTTATATGCCTACACCAACACCTTTGTCAAATTATTTTTTTATCTTCTACTTTGGTATAAATTAATTTTATCTGACTTTATTATATCTTAAATATTCTTTATTTCAAATTTAATTTTCAATATGAATTAAATTATTTGTAGATAAATTAATTCAGTTTTACAATTTTAATATATAAATAAATAGACTTTTCATATTCACCAAATACATTAATAAAAATAATTATTATTTTTTATTATTTTAATATTAAGTTGACACTTGTCACTTGGAAATTCATCTGAAATGATGATGTGACAAGCTGTGTGAAAGGGCTCACCTTTATTCATATATATGATTTTACACAATGTTAAATGTTCGCAGACTAAATTTTATAAACAAAAATAATTTACCATCCTAAATTTTTGAACAGATTGTCGATGCTGTGGTATTAAGTTCGTTGTCACATGGCTGAAAGTTTGTTAGAATTCTAATATATTTGTGGAATTGCATGTTACCACCGCATGTGATACTTATAATATATATGTTATTGCATAAATGATCAGTCCTGCAGATGATAATAAGAAAATCGTAAAACCATTCTCAGGGCACCTTTGTCACCGTCTTAGCACGTCCACCATCATATTAATCGTCTAAAATTAATTTCCAAAAACACAATTATTAAGAGGAGAAAATAACACTTGACCAGACAGAAAATGATGAAACCCGAAAAACAAAATCACTGAGATATAATAATTAATTAT